CAAGGTTGTTCCTTTAATTCACAACCTGTTATCAGCCTAGAAGGCTGGGAGTGGGTTAATAGCCTGGTGACCACAACCTATCTTCCCCAGACCCTTATCAAGAACTTGTCAGTCTATAGAACTGTCTTTATGGAAGGTGTCACATGTAGTCAATCTACAGACCCCATCTTATAGGAGATATCACGTGTACTTTACAAAGAGTTTTGATGTAGTCATGTTTTAAGCCTTATTGTGCACATAGGACCGAGTTAATCATCACCAGGAAAGTTTTCATCAAATTGTGCTATGCTTAGATATGCCTAAAATAAATTACTGGGGTCAGACTCCCCAAGTTTGAACTAACACTAGCTACTGAGCCGTGTTGCAGGAAACGGACTCTTGCGGATCTTACTCTACTGGCTGTGGTGGTCACAGAGACAACCCCCACCCCATTCCACCCCACCCCAATCCGGGCACTCCACTGACATCCTGGGTCCAGGAACAGAGACGTCTCGATTAAGGCTTCCCCAAAGGAAAGCTAACACCGACCGAGTGGTTACTATGCGGCAGGCACAGTTAGGTTTTACGAGTATTACCGACCAGCGCTAACTCCCACTACAATTCTATAACAGCATGCTTATTATCCCCATTTTACAGGTGAGGAAACCAAGTTAACCACGGAGCTCGCAGCTCTACGGGGGTGGGGTGGAGCTCCTTTCTGAGACAGGGGGTCAGCTCCTCAGCCCTCTCAACAGTGCTGCTTCCAAGGGCCCCACATCTCTGCTGAGCACACAAAGAAACGAATGGAGTTGGGCACGGTGGCTCATGCCTATGATCCCAGGACTTGGAGAGTTGAGGTGGCAGAACTGTTTCGAGTTCGAGGCCAGCCTGGGCCGAGAGTGAAACTCTGAAGGAATAAGAGGAAGGAGGGAAGGGGGGGGGGGGTCAGAGAGGGCCTTGCTCTGTTCAGGGGAGGAGCACACAGACCGACTGACCTGTGGCAATCGGAGCCAACCTCCACTCTTCTAACACCACCTGCTTCTCATGGCCCAAGGACCACAAACCACTTCCTTAGCACCTAGGCCAGCATGTCTAGCCTTTAACTACGGGCTCGCTGCCCTTGAGTGAACCCTGGTCCTTGTTCGTGGGAATTATGAACTGCAGACGGGAAGGAGGCTGGAGCTGAGCAAACAAGACAGGCTTCTGAGGAAGCAGACTGAAATGGTCCCAAGCTGCCCACAAAGACAGACAGTCAGAGGCTTGCCGCCACAGGTACGAAGAAGCGGACCTTCCACACATGGGGGTAATGACCCCCTGCCCGCCGTGCTGGGGATATAAATAGAGAGCAACGTGGCACTACGCTCCCTATTTTAAATGTTCCTGTAGCCAACCCTGTAGTTTTCAATTCTCTGTCCAGGAATCCGACCAAGGCACAGAGAGCAGTATGGTACTGTGCAGGGTGGTTAAACAGAGCGGGAGCATGCTGGCATTTTAAAAGATCAGAGGGCCCAGGACACGGCTCAGTGCAGGGAGCACTTGCTGTATAAGCAGGAAGACCAGAGTCTGGATCCCAGCCATACCACTAATTTCATTATATAAGTTATTAACATATAAAAATCACTATTTATGCAAATTACTACATAGGTAGTCCTTGAAAAAAAGGTTAGGTGGGTGATATATCAAAGTTGGCTCCAGGGCTGGAGAGATGGCTCAGAGGTTAAGAGCACTGACTGCTCTTCCAGAGGTCCTGAGTTCAATTCCCAGCAACCACATGGTGGCTCACAACCATCTGTAATGGGATCTGGTGCTCTCTTCTGGCCTGTAGTCATACATGCTGTATACACAATAAATAAATAAATCTTAAAAAAAAATAAAATAAAAGTTGGCTCCAATTGCCACAACTAAATCACTACCTCTCCCTGCCTCCCCCAGCAAGGCCTTCTCTGGCCCTTCCTTTCTTTATATTCCTTCCTATATTTATAGATTTATATAGGAAGAATCTATAAATATATATTGGAGACAGAAAAGGCACCAAATAGACAGCAAACCATACTTTTCCACTTTTTGCTTTAAATCTTTTTGGATTTCTGTATTATCTGCCCTTGTTATGAGCATGTACTGATTTGTGGAATTAAAACCATCAGTATAAGAAAAAGGGTCACTAAAACTCAGATGAAAGCAGTGAGTTCTTCTCTAGGGAGAGTAAGCAGATGGGAACCACAGCTGACCTCAGGCCAAGTGGGACCGCTCCAGGTTTTCTGTTCCCACCCCTGGAAGTACATCAGGAGGGTCTGTAAACTCAAAGAGAAATTACTCCACAAACAAGAAAGGAGCAAGCTGGCTGAACTGGCCACCCTGGTCAACTCTATATTCCAGTCCCAAAGAACTCCAGTGGTCCTGCCTCCTGATGCAGAAGGTCATCTGGCAGCTGCCCTCTCAAAAGGACCACAAGGAAAAAGAATAGACAGATCTCATCAATAAGTCCTCATCTTCTGTTCTTTCTGTGTTTGGTCAGACTGCCAGGGAGAATTAGAGGAAAGTGCACACCTTTAAACCCAGCACTTGGGAGGCAGAGGCAGGTGGATAACTGTGAGTTTGAGGTCAGCCCAGACTATACAGTAAGTGCCAGGAGAGCCAGGGCTATGTAGAGAGACCCTGTCTCGGAACAAACAAAAATTTTATATGAACAAAAGAAACTGGAGGATGGCACCTCAAAACCAGCGTGTTGCCATGCCCAAACTGATCACTTCCTCCATGAACACAGGCTTCCAAGCTGAAAGAATGTGTAATAAAAGAAAGTTACAACACAAGATGTTTCTTGCTGGATATTTGAAAATCTAACTAGACGTGTTTTTGTAACTCTATTCTGGGACCCACCCTTCCAAACCACAAGATTTGTGCCAGCTTACACTTCTTTTCACCTTTTCCAAAACAGCTTGTGAAAGTTCAATCCTATAAAATTCCTGAGATCCTGAAGCAAAACAGCCTCGGCATCATGCCAGCATTGGCCCAGGGAAATGATGGACATAGCTCACCCAGCTTTCCTGGTGTGGTGGTGCATGCTTTCAATCCCAGCACCTGGGAACAAAGACAGGCAGGTCTAAGTCCAGTGCCAACCTGGTCTACATAGTTACAGAGTGAGTTCCAGGCCAGTCAGGGATACACAGTGAGACCCTGTCTCAGGAAAAAAAAAAAAAAAAAAAAAAGCCAGGTATGTCGTGGTGGCGCACACCTTTAATCCCAGCAGAGGCAGGCAGGCAGATCTCTTGAGTTCAAGGCCAACCTGGTCTACAGAGTGAGTCCCAGGACAGCCAAGGCTACTCAGAGAAACCCTGTCTCAAGAAAAACAAAAATAAATAAACAACACACACACACCTCATCTATTTTCCCACAGAAGAAAGTGTAAGCCGGTGGTTGGTGGTGGGACACACCTTTAAACCTTTAACCCCGGGCTGGAGAGATGGCTCAGAGGTTAAGAGCACTGGCTGCTCTTCCAGAGGTCCTGAGTTCAGTTCCCAGGGACCACATAGTGGTTCACAACC